TTCCTGCTGGCTGTCCTGTCCTTGTTCCTATTCTTTTTTCCATCTTATGTACCAAAACCTAAAATAAAATGCTTAGTTTTGGGAGTCACGCTTAAATGAGTTTTCATCTCTACTGTATCCTTGCTGTATTTGAACCCTGCTTATTCTCTTGTTACCTATGTGGCTATTCTTAATGTCCTTTTAAGTGTCCAGTTCAGTTTCACTTTATGGCAATTCCTTCTTTATATCTCAGCGCTAATTAACTTCTAAATCATGCAGCAGATCAGCATTTTCCTGTCACTTCTTGGGAGGAGGGTATGTTTGTTCAAGCATTCTTCTAGGGTAGTTGCTCATCTTCTTACATCTGGAGTCCTTCCGTATGAATTTTCCTGTTGCTTGAGATCCAGCTTTCGTGTTTACAACTGGAGTAAGTTCCAGGACTCTCTCATTTCCATCTTTAGTGTTTCTGGAGGATGTATGGTGAGAGCTCAGCCTCAAATTACAGAAAGGGAGAAATGTTTAGCCCTTCGGGGGGTGATGAGAACATCAGCCTAACTTGAGGGGTTGAATTGTCCTGCCAAGGAGTGCGCGGCCTTCTGCTCACTGCACGGGTATGGAGGGAGGGTTAGCTTCACTGTGCTGGAGCTGGGTTTGGAAACACTCTCCTTTGAGATCCCCTGAGCAGGAGAGCGTTATTTGTAGTCTGTCTGCCCTTTTGAAACCAAGAATCTTCATTGTAAATCTGCTTTTGTTAATTCTTTGACTTTAAGCCATGCATTTTCTGTTGTAATTTATCAAAGGTTATTTCCTCTGACAAGTTTGCTATACTTGCCAAAATTAATCTAAAAGATAAAACTACCTTTTGGTGTTACTGAGGTGGTTAGAATCACAGCCAAAAATATATGGGTCCTTCTGTTTTTAAAGTCATGTGTTCAGTTAATAGCCATGAAGCTGAAGTTTCCTAGTGAGATAGGATTCTTTCTGGATCCAAGTCTGACTCCAAGGAATCTATTGTCATCTTCTTTCTGTTCTTGCCTTGGAAAAAGTGAAATTGGAGGGAGAAAACATTCTGAATGGTAGCAGTTTGGCCAGCTTGCTCAGTGTTTCAACTTCTGATTGCTTTAACTCCCTCATTCAAGTCATGTAGGAGGAATGTTTTAAGTCATGTTATTGTGAATGGTGAAAGCAAAGTTAATTTTAATTCTACTAACAATCTCACACAGAATATCGTGGCTGATGCAGCGGTGTGATGGTGTAGCTGGACTTGCATTCCTCCAACATTGGCCGTAGCACACAATACTTGAAACCGTTCCAGGTTCACTTTGTGTAAAGAGAGCAAAGTTTCTGCTTTGGAAGGCAATTTGATGCTTTATTAACTATGCTTAGTAAACCGGAGGATTTTCTTTCTCAGGCTCGTCGGAACTGTTCTTGAGGGGAGGCTCCCTTTGCCTGTGATTTGCAGACCTTATCAAGGCACCTGAAATTGCTCCCCGTTCTGATGATGGGTTCAAGCTCTCAAAGTCAGTGTTAAGACATTGTACTCTCAGTGTTCACATGGATAGGAATTCTCTGAATTCATCCTGCCTTCAAGGCCGTAATTAGTGCACTGAACAGGCCTGGGAGTCTGCCTTTCAGAAAATTGGGGTGTGTACCTTCCCTGTATCTCCAGGGCTAAATTTGTTTGCCAGTGTCAGAGACCCCTCTGACCATCTGGCACCAATGCACCGTGTGAGAGTTGAGCTGTGTTGCAGAAACCCAATGCCTTAAGACTTCATGGGTTGAAACAAGTTTACATCTTTTAAAGATTGACCAGAATGGTACAGCTCAGAACACAAATGCATCTTTTTTCTGAGTGGAATGCACTTAGCAAGCAAACAGCCATCTTATGTGGCGTGGGTAGTCTTGGGACACCAGGTGGCTTTCAGATAACATTATCTGCTGTTGAAAAAAGCAGTGGTCACTCTACATCCAGCATGGATTTATAAGAGATTGCAGGAAGTGAATAACTTTGTTACCTTTGTGACAATAGTTCAACAGGCATAAAGGTGGAGATAAAAATCTTTTTTGGTTTCGTACACAGCTGCTAATATAAAAATACCTATTGCTTAATGTGTTTATCTCTTGTTTGTATTTTTGAAGTGATTTCTCAAGGTTTTGCCATGGAATTTTGCCTCGGGAAGTAGTGATCTTTAATTTCAGTAGCATACCTTAGAAGAAAATACTCCCCAAAGCAAAAGTAGTCTTAGATGGCTTCTTGGTGACATCTCATTCTATCTTGTATCTAGAAGGGCTCAAAATAAATCTTGAATCTCAGTTTCAGAAAACACCATATCCATCACAGAATTCTGTGATGCACACTCTGTTCCTCTCTTACCCTCTTCATCATGATGATCCATCTATGTATTTTTGCAGTTGAATGTAGGGA